GTTGCAATTTTTGGATACAAAATGGCGGATTAGCTACCCACGTGACCCCTCTCAGCCAATCAGAGCTAGCGCCTCCGTTCGCGGGTCTCTCCCCAATATAGGACTCTAGGTTTATGGAGGTCGGTGTGACCGCTTCGCTCGGCGCTCGGCCTCGGCTGGGAGCTGTGTGGCCTGTTTTTGTTCACCCCCTAAAACACGGTTTTCTGAAATGATCCATGCAAGGTAGGCTTACCCTATACTCAGGGCGTCGTAATGTAACGAAATTGTTTTCGACCATTTTCCACATTTTGGTCAATATCTCCGGAACCGTGCACGATATGTTAACAAACTATGGCTCATTATACAGATCGGATGGAACTTTAAATTCGTTACCTCATGACTCATCGTGCTCAAATTGGTCCTTGTGCCCCAAAATAAATTACGTTGCGAAGCGACTTTTTAGCCCACCCTCCTTTTAAAAAAGCATTAAAGCGGGCTTATGCAACCGCTCTCGTGTCCGCCACTACTTCAATTTAGCATGTACACAGGATTACATGATTACAGGGATTACATGTGAATTTTGAGGGATTACACATGAATTTTGTTGAAATTCAGGCTCTAAAACCATTTAATTGGGACAATAAGGTGAAATTTAGAGATTTATGGTTTAAAATTTGCGAGGGGGAAATCACTTGCGAAATAGTTCGTACACTTTCCCCGAAATAGTCCGAAATAAAGGCGAAATAGACGTGAAATAGTCCGTGAATTAGCGAAATGCCCCTGTAATACTCCAAAATACCACGAAATATCCAGAAATAATTTCGAAATAGGCGAGAAATAACCGAAACGGCAGGAGAAATACCATGAAATAGCCCGTACGCTACGAACCAAAGTGATTTCCCCCTAAAAAATTTGGTCGAGTATTACTCAGGATTACGCGAGTAATGGCCCCCTTGCCAAAAACAACACATTCTGGATCATTCAGCACCCTCGGATTTGCCGTATCTTTAACTGTATCGGCTCTAGAGGTGGATGTGGATATATTTAAAACAATGGCAATGACAAAAGTCAAGTTTTATGACTGTTTGACAAACAATAGAATCTAAACTTCACTCGAGGGGGCAATAACTCCGGGAATCATGTGTACATTTGCCTTGGAATCATCAGTATAAAAATTAATCGAAATCAAAAGAAATCGTTTAAACTAAGTGGGAAACTAATGAAACTGATACAAATTAGTCGAAATAAGCGTTTTCTACCACTAGAAAACCTAAGGAATGAATGTAAGTGGACGAGAATCACTGGGAATCAAGTATTTCGGGAATCATGTGTACACATCAAAAGGGAGTTATTGCCCCCTCGACTTCACTGGTTCATTTTTATTAATTCTTAAGCAAAGCAGAAGGGCTGGGTGTAGTCACGGTGTTGACCCGTTACAGTCTTTTGTCATGTCCTAGGAGCAAATCTCAAGAGCCGCAGGCCCCCTGGCCCCGCCGGATGCTTTAGTTTACTCTAATATGCAAAGTGATTTACAGGTCATATTATTTCGAGGGGACCACCACTCGCGTAATCCTGTGTACAGATGCGGGTGTAATCCCTATGTAATCTTCATGTATTCCGAGTAATACTTGACTACATTTTAAAACATCGCGAAATTTCACCTTATTGTCGAAATTAAATGGTTTTAGAGCGAGAAATTCAACAAAACTCAAGTCTCCCAGTAATCACGTAATCCTATGTACATTCTGAATCAAAGTGGTGGCCCTCTCGCATTATTTGGTTATGTTCTTCGCAGCAAATCGCCGCCGGCAGGCCAAGCAGGCCCGGCACCTGCCG